GTGATGTGCCCAGGGGCCGCTAGCCATTGAAAAGAGGAGAGTGGGAACTTGAACCTGGGTCATCTTTTCTCTCGCCAGTTCCCTTGTTCTTTTCAGTACTCCACATTAATCCAGTGGTTGTTACTGTTAAAGGCTTTAGGTCTAAAGTATATTCTTTTTCCTGCAATTTTAACTCCACAGTCTTATTTTGTTCCTTGGGAGTAAAAAGTAGTCATTACTTCCATCATTAAATGAAATATATGTGAAAGCGTTTTCTAGATTGTAAGGCCCTGCGCAAAGTTACATTTGAAGGCTAATTAGGAAGTCAGCATTTTTCTTCTCCAAGTTAGAGGGACTGTGTGGAGTTGGTAAGTGGGTGAGAGAATTACCTTTGTAGCATTCACAAGAATTTTAATAGATTGTTGCCTGAATCACGGGGTTTTCTAAAAAGAGAACAAGAGGCTGGAGAAATCCTTGGGCCTAATTTGTAGCACTTGAGAATGTTGGTTTTCAGTTTAAGGCACAACCTGCATGGCCAGCTCAGAGAGGTACCGAGGAGCTCTCCAACCTGTGGTGGGCAGGAAGGCTCCCGCCAGCTCCTGCGGCTGCTTACTCGGATCTCTGACCTAACGAGGATGCACCTGATTTGGTCAGGGCCCCATGGCTCGTGCTCTGGGATACAGAGCATTGGGAGATTTTTTTTTTAAGATTTCATTTATTTTTTTTAGAGAGCGGGGAAGGGTGGGGGAGAGAGAGGGTGAGAAACATTGATCGGTTGCTTCCCGTACACCCCCAATGGGGAAGGGAATCAGACTTGCGACCTTTCGATTTGCAGGACGACGCCCCACCACTGAGGCACTGGGAGGTCAGGGCTGGGAGCGGGTTTTGAGACCTTTTTGGATTTCCTAAAAGCTCAGTAGGGTTTAATGTGTGTAGTAACACACGTGGCAGTACTTAAGCTCTTCAACTGTTACACATGAGGGCTCAACAACCTCAAGGCTATGCAATCGTTGAGAAAGTTCCAGCCCTTCAGAGCTTGGCAGTCAGGGTCCGCTATGTGGTTCATAAGTTGCCTTTCCAGTGCCCACTGCCCCCTGCCCCCACCCTGCTGTCAGGGGTGAACAGTGCTCCAGTTAAATTGTGCTGCCCACTGCCTTCTGAGCATGTTTTATTTTTCCTCTTGTGTACCTTTCTCTTTAAATCTGCACTCCTCATAGTAGCCATCAGTCACAAACAGCTACTGAGAACTTGAAAGGTGGCCAATCTAAACTGAGACGTGCTGGTAGATACACCCAGATTTCAAAAATGTAGAACCCGGCCCTGGCTGGTGTAGCTCAGTGGATTGAGCACGGGCTGCGAACCAAAGTGTCGCAGGTTCAATTCCCAGTCAGGGCACATGCCTGGGTTGCAGGCCACGGCCCCCAGCAACTGCACATTGATGTCTCTCTCTCTCTCTCTCCCTCCCTTTCCTCTCTAAAAAAAATAAATAAAATCTTTTAACGAAAATGTAGAACCCCCCCACATGTAAAATATTTCACTAATATCTAAATATTGGTTACATATTGAAACAATATTTTGGATATAATGGGTTAAATTCATTACACATAATTCCATATTTCTTTTTACTTTTCATGTGGCTACCAGAAAGTTTTAAAACCTGTCTGCGGCTTGCAGTGTATTTTTAAATGGACAGTGCTCCCCTGGATCATTAGCCTAGCCTCTTAAGTCAGCCCAGAACTGGACCCGCCATTCAAGCCCATCTTTGTGCTTTCCATCTGCTGAAATAATAAAGCAGTGAATGATGGAAAACTCTCGGGTGTGGTTCCTTCCGTACAGTTCAGGCAGGCATGCCCGCTGTGCGCTGTCGGACCGAAGCTGCTGTCACCCATCAGCTGACAGCACAAGGAAGCAAAGACTTTTTGCAAAAGGCAAGACAATATTCTCAGTAAGTATTAGACGATTTCTTTTAGGCACCCACACTAAAAAACCCTTCAATTCCATCTTTACCTCTCCTGTTTCTCTTCCACTTCTAGTCACTAAAATGTTACTTTTTTTCCTGTGAAATTCTTTCAGTTCTACTCCTTTTCTCTCAATCCATACCTAATCCAAGTCTTGGTTACCCTGTTTTTAAACCCTAGTTTCCAAGTAGTCTGCGAGCTTCCTCCCCCCATCCTCCCCACGTTCATTCTGTTCTATAGACTATATAGCAGCCCATACTGTATGTAATAATATAGTATATACTGCAACTAAAGTTGTCTTCTATAATTTTCTTGTAGCAGATACAATTTTTTTTTTTTTGCTCAAAAGCTTCTTTTCCCACATTGCCTACAAGAAGAATTTCCATCTGGTGTTCAAGGCTTTTTCAAACCTAATCTCTTGGTACTCTCCTCCATAAAACCTGAGCTTTAGGGAAGCGAGACTGAGTCTATGAAAATCACTTAGCATCCCGCCTCACCTACACTGTGCGAACCGTACAAAGCCTGGTTATTGCCATCACCACTCACTCTTGACTATGCCGTGTGCATTTCTATGTCCCGAGCACTGCTAATTCCTTTTTCCTGTTTGAATACCTCTGTCTCCAAAGAGAGAAGTAATGATTTAAACCAACAGTAGCACAAGCCAGTTGTTACTCAAGGAGAAAATTTACATAACAGGTCCTTGAGAAACGTTTTGTTTGTTCAGTATCCTTTGGTTATAACGTTGGTGAAATGCCACAGGAATTTAACTCATTGATACCAATTACCTATGATAACTGATTTCAATATAAGTAATTTCACTGCACATCCAAGAACTTACCAATGACCTTAAGTGAGGCCTTACTGTACATTCTTCCTACAATACACAAACCAGTAACCTGAAACCCTAATTTGCCATAAACTTTAAGACTGGACGGAATGTAAATAAAAGGTAGTATTTCTTTTCTACAGTAACAGTGACCTGTGGAGTGTATTATTTACAAAATAAAAAGCTTGAAAAAATAAATGGGTTCTGGATTTTGGGCAGTGGCTCTCCAACTTCGGTGTGATTAGACTAAACCGAGAAGCTTTCGAAGTTAATGCAGATGCCTGGCTCCCACTCCGGATTTGCTGGGTTGAATAGTAGGGCTTGGGCACCTGAATTTTTAAAAAAGCTTCAGAGTTCATTCCCAAGCTTTGTGGGTGATCTTCATGTGCCCCTACATCCAAGAATCCTTGGTTTATTTAAGAGACACACTGGGAGGAGGCTGGTAACGCTCCGTATGTTTTTCACCGTGCTGTCCTACAGCGTTTTTGAAAGAAACGATACGGAGAGCTGATGAACTCTGAATGACGTGTGAATCTGAGTAGTGTTCTTGAAAACACCCAAAGCTCCCGCACCCTCCAGTTTGATCAGGGGGTCAGAAAAGAAAAAGGCACATATACCCCAATACACTTGGTATTCACCTAAAAGCCTGCCTGTTGGTCTTCTACTAATTTATAAATTTCAAAAATGGAATTACTAAGTAAATATGTATTTATGAACAATATTCACAACTTAGATTTTTTCCAACCCCCAATTATATATTTCAATCCATAAATACGTGAAAAAGTTGGCATTTTAATACAATGCTTAAAAAACTCCAAAACAACTCTACCTCAAAAATACTTTAAACCCCTTTTCCAAAGTGCTATTTTCACAGGCTCACATCTGTGCCACAACCACCCAGTCCGGCTATGGACTAACCGACGGCGGAGGAAGCGGCAGCACTTTTCCCACAGTCGCCGAGGGTGTCGAACACCGGGTCCTCGCAAACCTACAACAAGGCCCCTTTCACCCTCCAGTCCTGAGAGAGCAGATCCTGCAGCTCTCCCTCGTCGTCGCTGTCGGCGTTCTCCTCCTCCTTCTTCTGCAGCTCCTTTATCGCCAGGACCTCTTTAAGCTTGTTTTTCAGTTCGTCCTGGCGGTTCCGCAGCTTTTCCACCCGACGGTAGCACTCGATCTGCTCGTCGATCTCCCCAATCTGTCGGTCCAGCCGCCCCTCCTCGTCCTCCTCGGCCACTATCGCTTCGGAAATGGTGTTCACCTGCCGCATGGCTTTCTGAAACTCGTCCCACTCTTTGTCCATCTGGTCCTTTGGGGCGTCCACCTTTCGTACCCTCGCGTCTATCTCAGGGTCGTCAAAAAAGCCTTCTGGTAACGCTTCCGCAGTGTTCTCTTTCCTTTCCACCACTTTTTCATGTATTTCTGCTTTCTCAATGGACCCCGAGTGCGGGACCAGAGGAGCCTTGGGGGGGTCTGTATTGGAGAAGTCGCTCGGCAGCATGCTACCTGTTGCCTCCCGCGACGAGGAAAGTGAGTGTTCCTTGCCCTGCACGTCGGGCGGCTGCTTGCTGGCGTCCCCCTCTTGTCCTCCTCCTCCCTCCTCCTCCTCCTCATCTTCATAATCGGGGAGTAAACCAAGTCCCGAAGTCTTACCGAGGGTCGCTCTGGCGGGCTCCTTTCCTGCGTGGTCAGCGTTGGTGAGCGACGCGGACGTGGAGGGCTGTGCCTGGGCCACCTGCAAGGCCTTCGCCCTTTTAGCCTCCTGGCTGTCTGCGTCGGGCGCCTTCCTCTTGGCGGGCTGAGGCGCCGCGCTGGTGGACGGCCCCTGGCTGGGCTCCTTCGCGCCTTTCAGCTCGGCCACTTTCTCTCGGTGCAGCTTTCCCAGGACGTGAGTCTGCCACAGGAGCTCGCTCTTCACCGGGGTGTTGCACAGGGCGCAGCTCAGCTGCCCCAAACGGTTGTACTTGGCGAATGGAGACTCTATGCGTTTCCTGTTGGTGCTCAGGCGCTGCTTCTCCTTCATCAGCCGCCGCAGCTCGTCTTGACTCACCACCCGCTTCCCGGCCGCAGGCCGAGCCGAGGCGGAGGACGCCATCTTCGCGACCCGCCCCGAGGCGTTCCTGGCTTCCGGCGCGGCGACGCCTGATGGCGTCACTTCCTGACCGGGCGAGGATTGGCTGGGGCTCCAGAGCGTGGACGTTGGCGCCGGGTTTTACCTGGGAGTCGCGACCGAGGTTGTTTTTGCCGGTCAGGTGGTTCTCCAACCGTCCCGCGATGGCCGCGATCAAGGCAGTAAACGCCAAGGCCGAGGTGGCGCGGGCCCAGGCGGCCTTGGCGGTCAATATCTGCGCCGCCCGAGGGCTGCAGGATGTGCTGCGGACCAACTTGGGTCCCAAGGGCACCATTAAAATGTGAGGCGGCGGTTAGGGCGCCGGCGGTTGGTCGGGTGTCGGGACCGGCAAACGTTCCGCCAAGACACGTGTGAACACACTTGTGGGCGATTTCCCTCCTTTTCACCCCTGCCCTGCGGTCATCTGCAGCCGGGTGGAGGAGGAGGAGAGAAGCGTCCCCGAGGAACAGGCCCCACCCACCCACCCGACCAACTTTTCGCTAAGGCTTATGTGCAGTTATAAAGTGCATGTAATATTTCACATGAAACGGAAGCCTGCTAACTCCCCTGCCCTTGAAGACTGTCTGCCCATCTGCCCTTTGTGTCGGCCTTGTTTGGGGGTGCGGTGCAGCAGAGAGGGCACGGGCTTTGGGGCCTGGCCGGCGTGGGTTCGGATCCAAGCTCCCGCTCTAGCTGTCAGTCTTTAGCGCGTTACTTGGGCGCCGTGTGCCCAAGGTTTCTCCTGTCTGTTCAGCCTTTCAGCGTGTATTTATTTAGCGCCATGCTTTCCTTTAGGAGAGAGTGAGGGAAAGAGACTAGTGAGCGCAAAGAGGTGTGAGAGGAGGGATACAGTCTCAGGACCGAGAGAAATACGTTAACAGGGACACAGGTGCTTGTTAGGAGCTAGCTGGGGTACAGAGAACGCAGAGACGACCGAGATAAAAGTTCAGCTTTGGTAGAAATGAACGTGACATACGTGTATGTACTATATAACATGTCGTATGTATTTTAAGGTATGTGGCTTGCATTATACTTTTAATCACATAACATGATTATACCGAGGAAAGGGACTAATTATTGATGGGAGGGGGAAAAGACAAATAACAGTTGATTTTTTATCATAGTCTTGAAAGGTGAGTTAGAGCTCACTAGCTGAACAAGTGAACAAGGTCTTGTAGACACAGCAGTTTCAAGAACAAGAAAGCCAATTGGTGTAAACCCAACAAATGAAAACAAACGTTATGTATTAAGGGAGCCACGAGATTTCCTTTGGTAGATGGGGCATTTAAAATAGACGTAAGCCACACTGGGAAAGGTCAGCTATGTCACTGCTAAACAGTTTGGATTTAGCCTTGAGATGGGTGGAGGACATGGAAACCGTTGGAGGGTTTTTCATCGGGGAACTGACTGAGCCAGTCTGCCTTTTAGAAAGACAGACGAAGGGTAGATTCCCATTCAGAGCTCTGGGGGCGCTCACCAGTCCAGACCGCAGATGGCGATGATGGCGGTGCGGATGGAGAGGAGGGGGTGGTTTGGGGAGGCGTTTAGGTTGTCCAGCTGACAGAATCTGACGCTCTAATGAATATGAGGGGCGGAGAAAGAAGCTAACGTGGGTGAATGAATGGTAACGTTTCCTCAAAGTAAAAAACCTGCGGGAAATTCACCCGCCTGTGGCTTGTAGACTTCCAGGTACTCTCCTTGAGCCAACTGCTCTCATCACTCACCGACGACTCTGGGTCTTAAACGTGCACACGCTCCGCCTGGAGTGAAATCGCCGCGGCAGCGTCTGGGGAAAGTGGTTCCGTGGGCCGCAGAGGGTGGTGCTGCGTGGGGGGGCCTCCCCGGGTCTGGGGGGACATTTTCCAGGCCCGATTCTCTGTATGGAGGAGAACGGAGTGGCAAGCACCGGGCGTGTCTCGCTTGGCGCTTGCCGTGTGAGGTTTATAACGCCTGTGTTTCCTGAACAGGCTCGTTTCCGGTGCGGGCGACATCAAACTCACCAAAGACGGCAACGTGCTGCTGCACGAGATGGTGAGCCCATGCTGCTGGCTTCCACGCGCCTTACTGCGACTTAACTGAGGACATAACACAACTCGTGCGTCTGTAAACCAAGGCTGTCAACTGACTATTGCAACCGGGAGATACACTTGTAGGATTAAATGTCAAAAAATATGTTTGTTTTTTTTTTGGCTGTTTTCGTGTCTTTGTATACTTCAAGTAATAGCTTAGGGATACTTCCAAACTAGTTGTATTTTCTTAAAGATTTTATTTATTTATTTTAGAGAGGGAAAGGAGGGAGAAAGAGAGAGAGAGAGAGAAACTTCAATGTGTAGTTGCTGGGGGCTGTGGCCTGCAACCTAGGTATGTGCCCTGACTGGGAATCGAACCTGTGATGCTTTGGTTCGCAGCCCGCACTCAATCCACTGAGCTACACCAGCCAGGGGCATTTTTTAAAAATAATCATAATTATGATTTTTCCTCATAATCATGGAAAAGGAAAAAAGTCCTTTGCAATTTTAGTAAATATATTCCTCTTCAAGACTGAAGGATTTAATCTAATTCTGGAAATGTCATTGCATTCTTGAGCAAAGACTCTTTTATAGAATGTTCAGATCTCATTAGTTCTCAACTGTTAACTTCTGGCGTTGACATTTATTAAGCGTTGATAATACAACACTTGTGAACTTGTAGAGGGAAGCTTATTCAATTTGTTAATTTTGCTATTGGTGTTTAGGTTACCTTGTTTTTGGTGGACTATGTCTGCATTTTCTTCTCTGTTTTAAATCCGTTGCTTGCTTTCCCCAGCAAATCCAACACCCGACAGCTTCGCTGATCGCGAAAGCTGCCACGGCCCAGGACGACGTCACAGGAGACGGCACCACTTCCAACGTCCTGATCATCGGGGAGTTGCTGAAACAGGCCGATCTGTACATCTCCGAGGTACTAGAATAACGTAGAATTTGCATCTATGTGGTACTTTATTTTGAGTGGACCGTTGACTTTTTTACACTAGTAAAATGGTTTAGTTTTGGAGGGCAAAGGTTAATCTGCAAGTACTTTTTCACATTATAAATGAAAATAATAATGAACTGTTTTAGCCAAACCAATGTCTCTTATTGGAATTATATACCTGTTTTAAAATAAAAAATTTAAGATATTTAAAAAGTAAAATGTGAGCCATTACTGATAAAGTTGAAACCAAATTATGATTTTAAAAAATAACTGGCCTAGCTGGCATAGTTTAGTGGATTGAGCGCGGGCTGCAAACCAAAGCATCACAGGTTCGATTCCCAGTCAGGGCACATGCTTGAGTTGCAGGCCACAGCCCCCAGGAACCGCACATTGATGTTTCTCTCTCTCTCTCTTTCTTTCTCCCTCCCTTCCCTCGCTAAAAATAAATAAATAAAATATTTTTTAAAAAGTTAAAAAAATAGCTGGGAAAAACTTACTTTTGCCGAGGTGACATTGTACGTTTCAAGCGTACAGTTCTATAATCCACCGCACACCTGTTGCGCTGTGTGCTCACCACCCCAAGTCTAGTCTCCTCCTGTCACCGCGTGGTCGGCCCCCGTTACCCTGCCCATCCTCTCCCCACCCCCTTCGCCTCTGGCGGCCGCCGTACTGCTGTCTACGTCTGTGAGATTTTTGTTTTGCTTCGTTTGTTTGTTGCTTTCTGTTTTATACCCCACATATGAGTGAAATCATATGGTCCTTGTCCTTTTCCACCTGACTTGTTTTGCTTAGTAAGATGCTCTCAAGATCCATCACGTTGCTGCAAATGGCAGTATCGCGTCCTTTCTTACGGCCGAGTGGTGTCCCTTGTGTGTGTCTCTCACGCCCTCTCCATCCAGCCCCCATGGGGTTGTGTGCGGGTCTGGGCTGCTGGGATTAATGCTGCAGGGAACGTGGGGGTGCCTGTATCTTTAAGAGTAAATGTTTTTCAGATGTCCTGGGTAGGCCCCCCAGAAGGGGGATTGCTGGGTCAGATGGGAAACCTATTCTTAATTGTTTGAGGAGCCTCCGTATTGTTCTCCATAGCGTCCGCACCAGTTTCCGTTCCCGCCAGGTCTTTTCCTGCCCATCTTCTGGGGCACGCTGCTTCCTGCCCAATTCGGTGATAACGGCCGTTCTGGGGGGGGCGGGGGGGGGCCGGGGGGGGCCGGGGGGGGGCATCTCACTGCAGTTTCCATGTGCATTTCCTTACAGCCAGCAAAGCTGAGCATCTTGTCGTGTATCTGTTGGCCATTTTCACGTGTTCTTGGGAAAAGTGTTCAGGTCCTTCACCCGTTTTTATTTGGATTGTTTGTCGTTTTGTTGTTGAGTTGTATGAGTTCTTTATATATTTTGGGCAAAGCCCCAAAATCTATTTTGCTCATTTATTTTATATTTGCTAATATAAAATAAAATACATTTTATATATTTTGCTTGCCCTATATCGAAGGTTTGTTTGCAAACATCTTCTCCCATTCCGTTGCTTGCCTTTTTGTTCTGTTGGGAGTTTCGTTTCCTGAGCAGAAGCTTTTTAGTTTGATGTAGTCCCATTTATGTTTTTTTGCTTTTACTTCCCCTGCCTTTGGGGTCAGGTTCAAAAAAGCCTCTCTGAGTCAAAGGTCAGTAAGTTTAGTGCCTGTGTTTTCTTCTATATGTTTTATTGTTTCAAATCTTACATTGAAGTGTTTAATCCATTTTGAGTTAATTTCTGTGCATGGCGTCAAGTAGCAGCAGTCTGGTTTGTCTTTTGCCTGTGGCTTTCCAGTTTTCCCAGCACCGTTTATTAAAGAGTTTTTGCTTTTGGAGGAAAACTACTGAAGGCTTCCCACATTGAGAATTTACCTGCCTTTCTAGTTTTATTTCCCTTACAGACTGTCCGCCGTAGCCAGACTCCTCCGTTCTCTAGCCTCTGGAGTCGTTACAGATAGTTCTACCTCCGTGCCTTTGTTCGGTCTGTGTTCTTGTCTTGGCCTTTCTTATCTGTCTTCTCTAAGTATTCGAATTGTCTTCTCTTTCAAGGAGCATTTCAGCAAAGCATAGCCTGGTCCAATCCTAAAATTCTTACTTCTTTGTGTTTCATTTAGTATCGGGAATTGTCTATTAATTTAGTACCTTCAACTTATTTCAGTAAGGATGCTTTTGCCTGTTAGCAGTAGAAACTTGACTAAGAGTCACTTAAACAATAAGGAAGTTATCTGCCTTAGCAGAGTGGAGAGAGAGAAGGCGGGCTTCCAGGGCTGGTTGATGAAAAGTGCAGTCGGTGATCAAGAGCGCAGGTCCCCTCTGTCTTTTAGCTCTGCTGCTTATACTGCAGTTTCAGCCTAAGGCTCACTTTCATCCCGACGGCAAGACTGCCAGAGGAGGTCAGGACCGCCTTCTCCCCTTAGTGACGCCCAGCAGGAGACGGGGCGGAGAGTGCCGTCCACCCAGCTGCGGAGCACAAGCCCTTACCTCACGTGATTGGGCCGACTCTGGCCTTACGTCGTCCCAGACCAGTGACAGTCTTTGGGGAACTGACTTACTCCAGTCGGGAGCCCCCCTTGAGTTAGGGATGGGGTCGGCTTCCTCTCAAACACTGGAGGGAGAGGCAGACCTAAACAAAATTCAGGTCGAGTTTGGAAGAGAGAAGTTCGGGGAGGGGGAGATGCCAGCAGACACGACATCCTTGTGAAACCGTGTGGCAGAGCCAGACGTGGGGTGTGACGTGAACCCCGAGGGAGGGGTGTCCTCACCCAGCCCGAGGGGGTCAGGAAGCACTTTCTGGAGGAGATGAGGCCTGGGCTCAGTGTTCCGGATGGGAAAGAGGGAGCCGGGCGAAAGAGCGCGGGGTGCGGAGAGGGGCGCTCCAGGCGGGAGGAGCACCGTGAGCAGAGGCGCGGAGAAGGGGAGCAGCAGCAGCCGTGTGTGCGGCTGCCGGAAGCTGGTGTCGGCGGAGGTTAGGGTGGCGTGGACAGCAGTGCGTAGGCTGGAGGAGCAGGCCGGGGCCAGGTCATGGAAGGCACTTCGCACACCGACCAAGAAGAATGCTATTCATATTAACATACTACTGGGTGAGCCCCGGCTGGTGTGGCTCAGTGGGTTGAGTGCCAGCCTGCGAAGCAAAGGGTCATTGGTTCGATTCCCGGTCAGGGCACATGCCTGGGTTGCGGGCCAGGTCCCCAGTAGGGGGCCATGTGAGAGGCAACCACACACTGATGTTTTTCTCCCCCTCTTTCTTCCTCCCTTCCTTTCTAAAAATAAATAAATAAAATCTTTATAAAAATATCTGGGGGACAGTTTTAAGGGAGTCGAGACTGGAGGTTTCCAGAGTAGTCCGGGCGAAGAGTCGAAGGTCCTAGACCGGGGAACGTTTTGACGGTGGGTAAACAGCAGGCTCTGGAGTCAGGCCTGTGGGTTCAAATCCTGGCTCCCCTTCTTAACTGCTCGCTGGTCGCAGGCAAATTACAGTATCCCTGTGAGCCTCAGTCTCCTCGTCTGTGAAACAGGAGTAATGACCACAGCTCCCACTTCATCGTGCTGAGAGGACTAACTTCAATAACACATGTGCAGCTCTTTAGGATAGTGCCTGACCCAAGCGCTCAGTAGATGTCAGCTTTCCGAAACTGTTACAAGACTAATGCAGAGGGATGGAGGTAATAAATTAGACCTAGTTCCAGCTTCAGTAAGTTTGTGCATTACTTTTCAGAATAAACAATTCTGTCTCTTTAAAAAAATATTTTGTCATAATGTCAGACCTATGGAAAAGTTACAGGAATATTCCAAAGAATAACATTTTCCTCAGATAAATAGACGTATATATGTGTGTTTATACTTGTTGTAATGTACATGTTTTTTAATGAATGGTGTAAAAATAAGTTGCAGACGCCCTGGCTGGGTAGTTCAGTTGGTTAAAGCATCGTCCCAATATGCCAAGGTTGTGGGTTCAAATCCAGTCAGGGTACATACACAAATCAGCCAATGAATATATTAATAAGAAGTGGAACAGCAAATCAGTTGCATGCTCTCTTTCTGTCTCATAAAGTAAAATCTTTTAAAAGATTTTTACTTATTTATCGAGAGAGGGGAAGGGAGAAAGAAAAAGGGAGAGAATCATCAGTGTTTGGTTGCTGCTCACACGCCACCCCACCGGGGGCCTCGCCTATAACCCAGGCATGTGCCCTGACTGGGAATTGAACCAGCAACCCTTTGGCTCACAGGCCAGAGCTCAACCCACTGACCCACACCAGTCAGGGCAATAAATAAATCTTTTTTTTTTTTAAAGAATAAGTTGGAGATACGACAATCTGAATATTTAAGTGTATATTTCTTAAAACCAGGGAATTCTCTTATATAATTCAGTATAGTGGTCACAGCCAGGAAACTGATATTAACACTGACACACCGATGCAGATCTTACTCAGATTTCATCATCTGTCCCAATAGCGCCCTTCACAGCAGGAGGAAACCCAGGTCCGAGCGTCACATTCCGCTGTCCTGTCTCTGGTCTCCTCGAAGCCGAGCCATTGTTCGTGTTCCAGGACAGTGTTATCTTTAGAGCACGGGCCCACTACTTTGTAGAAAGTCCCTCCAATTGGATCTGTTTGTTTCCTCAGACTAGACTCCAGTGATACACTGTGACACACTTCCGGCAGGAGTGCCATGGAAGCGCTGCCGCAGTGTTCCTAGTGGGTTGTGTCACCAGGCACACGCCTGTCTGTCCCGTCGCTGCGGTGTTAACTGTGGACACCGAGCGAAGGCGATGCCTGCCCGCCGGTTTTCTCCACGTCAGTGGGGACTCGCCTCCTCTGCAGGAAGAGGACTTCGGTGCCCGTTCCGCAGGGCACCGCACGGCAGCAGTGTCCTAGTTTGCAGACATGAAAAGAACTTACGTCGTTGTTTTGTAGTAGACTTAGAATTTTTCTGCAAGTTTGAGATTGTTTTGAATGTGAAGAATGAAAAATCACTTTTATAAATTATATGCATACACTTTATAAATTACGTACATCATACACTTATAAATTATATTCATACACTGAAATAATACTTTTTTAAGACATACCTACTAATAGGAGAGGATGGTTACTTTTACTTTGCGTGACTCACTTTATAATTTATAGTTTTATGTTGTTTTAATAGGGCCTGCACCCTAGAATAATCGCTGAAGGATTTGAAGCTGCAAAGAAAAAAGCACTTGAAGTTTTGGAAGAAATTAAAATGAAAAAGGAGATGAAAAGAGACTTCCTCTTAGATGTGGCTCGAACATCTCTACAAACTAAAGTTCACGCTAAACTGGCTGATGTGTTAACAGAGGTCTGTTATTACATTTACGTATTTAGAAAGAGTCTAGCCTGACACATGATTTTTTTCCCTATAAGATAATCAACTATTGCGTGTGGTTGTTTGGAATGTAAAATAAATCATGAAATATGTAAGACGAACACATGTTTCTAGGCTTGCTTACTGACTGGATCCGGTTGGTCAGGACAGTAGGCACAGTTTCGTCCCAGACGGTCACCTGGGGGTGACGTGCTGGTCTCTTCAACCCGGAGGTCCGTGTGCGCCGCCGGGTGAGGCGCCATGTGGGGGAGCCGTGTCGGCAGCGGGCCGTGCGGCCAGGGGCCCGCTTCGGTGAAGCGCGGCGGCTCTCACAGGCCTCACGTCTGGGCAGTGCACGGCCTGTTGTGTTACTTCTGCACGCGGCATGCGTGTGCCGGAGGGACCAGATCGGGTGTTTTGGGGAGCCTCTATCAGGGAGCTGTCGTTGGGTGATGTCATCGCTGCTTCACTTTGCGGTTTCTGAGACGTGAGTATGTTAATGGATCAGGAGTGACGAGTTCATCACCAAACTCACGAGACATTGACATGTAAGTCAGGATGCCAGCATGCTAGTTTACCTTGAGAAATGCAGATGCCGCATGGATTGGAACGCCTGAGTTGTTTCTGGGCCGTTCTCCTCACCGACAGGAAAACCTGGTTGGGAAAGCAGATTAAAATCAGAGACGTTCTTACTGAGCGAGCAGAGTCCAACTAAAGACTCTGCTGTACTTGCCGCTTTGGGAACACATATATCCAGTGGCTGAGAACCCGCGTGCTCTGTGGTCAGAGCCCCGGCTCTCCTGTGGAGTGGCCGAAACTCCCGCGATCCGGTCTTTCTGTCAGTATCCCCTGGTGGGCTCCAACACCGAATGCTCTGCTCAAGTAGGCAAACTTTTCTAAGGTACTTTTCTTGCTTTATTTACGTTTTAGGATGGTTGTGCTATCGCACTTAATTTCTGTCGTCGTTTTTATATGCCCTTCTGAGCTACAAGTAACAGGGCGTGCTGTGCTCTGCTTCTCCAACTGCTCGTCCCTGGGGACACCTGGCAGAGTAAGGGGGCACATCTCTCTGGGGTGTCAGTTCTCACTTTGCGATTTCTGGGGGAAAGCATTGTTCCCACGTTAAGCCGTACATGTATATATAATGGTACGGCATGGGACGTTTTCCTGATAAAACACAAGACTTAAAGCTCTCACACCGCTGCAGCCGGCAGATGTGAGCCGCGCCCTTCTGCGGCATCCCCTTCCCTTCTCCGACGGCGCCCGTCGGCGGGGGAGTTCGGGCGGTGCTGATGCAGTGGCAAGAGCAGTGGCCTGGCGGTCCCGGAGGCCTGGGTTCTAGGCCTGGTCCTGCTGCTGCCGTCGAGACCTTGTCGTAAGACCGTGACTTCTTAAAGTCTTGTATTTTCTTATCTGTACAGGAAGGGTTTGGACCGAAAGATCTCTGAAGTTTCCCTTAGGCTGTAATTACGGGCCTCCGAGACCAACTGGCACTTTTTGGCCTGGCCCTGTGTTTTGGAGCCGCAGGCTCTTTCTCTGCTTAGTCTGGTGACAGATCACTTGGGCCAGTGGCTTTTTTCAGGAGCCCAAATAGTCACTGTTCCCATCCACGTCTCTTGCAGGCCGTGGTGGACTCCGTCTTGGCCGTTAGAAGACCCGGCTACCCTATCGACCTCTTCATGGTGGAGATCATGGAGATGAAGCACAAGTCAGAAACAGACACAAAGTGAATGCCGTGAACTTGGGCAATTCGTAGGCTCGAGAGTATTTGGTTATCTTCAGATGTTCTTTCGTTAATTTCATTAGCTATTCATTAACGTATGTTAACTGGATGCTTACCAGAGCCAGTCACTGTTTCCGGTGCCAGGAGTGGGAAGTCCACACAACAGAACTTCTCCAAGAAGCTGACGTTTCTAGTTGGAGACAGTAAACAGACTGGTGACAGTAAATGCTATGCAGGGACTAGAGTGACAGTGCATGTGAGCGTGTGCGTGGTGTAAAGGGACGTGGGACCGAGCTAGAGAACTGGGGACGTCTCCGGAGAAACAAGGAGCTAGTCTAGCCCTGCGAGCACCTGGAAGGAGAGCCTTCCAGGCAGAGGGAGCCACAGTCGCGAAGGCCCCGAGGCAGACAGGATGCCCGTTAGGGATCTATGTGCAGAGGCTGGGCAGAGAGTTGGAGAGAGGTGCCTGGGGTTCAGAGCAGTGGTCTGGACCGGAGCACACATTTGGAAGTCAGTCGGTGAGTGGACGACGTAAAGCTACGAGCGGTGACGAGGTCGTCCGGGAAGTAAATACGGACAGAGGGAAAAGGGACGTGAAGGACTGGGAGCTTCGGGAACTCCGCGGTCTGGACCTGGGAGGATAAGGAGCGGTCAGCAAAGGGGGCCGAGGAGGGGCGGTCAGCGTGCTGGAGGGAGAGCCGAGGGAGGGCTGTCGCAGACGCTGAGAGAGGGAGGTATTTCAGCAGGGAGAGAAGAACCAGCTATGGTGCGTGCTGCTGAAATTTTGAGCAAGTTGTTGTGAACTGAGATTAACTGTTAGATTTGGAAAACATTCGTGGGCTTTTTGGTAGCTTGAATGAGAGTTGCTTCAGTGAAGGGGGTGGGTGTGAACGTCAGATTGGAGGCGGGCTCAAGAGGGGGCGGTCTGGGAAGAAGTGAGGGTGCAGACGCAGACAACTCGGGGGAGTGCACCCGTAAAGGGGGCAGAGAGCTGGGGGCGGGGCTAGAAGGGAGTGTGAGGACGGGGCTGAACAGAAAGAACCCTCTGTTTTAAAGGTGGGAATTATTACGGCCAACGTGTGTCCTGATGAGAAGGCTCCCGTGGGCGGAGCGGCTTGATGTGGGGGAACAGGGGGCAGCGCGGAGCGGAGAGGGGGACGGGGTGCGGTAGACAGGAGGAGGGGCTAACCCTAGAGGGGGCACGGACAGTTCCGTTTTAATTGTGGGGTGCTCGGGTCCAAGTGCAGGTGGATTCCTAGAGGTGGTGATGGCCCAGCATTTCGTTTTTTCTTAAAGAAACCAGGTCATTTGCTGAGAGTGAGGAGGGGGAAGGGTAAAGGAGACTCGAAGAGGGAAGAACATGGAACATGCAGTTTGTGTGTTTCTTCCTAAATAAAACATCGTCATGTTAAGTTAGGAGTTCAGAGTAACCCAGTTAGATTGAAACTTTGAAAACTTCCTTATAATTATATTGAACTGTTTGAAAATTATTTCCTTAATGCATAACAAATATTGGTTATAAAAGAGTCATAAGTAGAAATGACATTCCCTACTTGGGCATAAATGCATTTTTAAAGAGTTATAAAGATATTTAGTCTTGAAGGAACATTTGGAAAAGAGGAAAAAAAGACCCCCCCAACATTATCCATATATATATATTTTATTTTATTTTAATCATTGTTCAAGTACAGTTTTCTCACATTATCCATACTTTTATATCCCTACCCACTCAAGCATAGTCCCACTCTTTTACTTTCCTCTCATAGTTTTTCGATGCCAAGGTGCTATTTTTTTTTTAAAAAATCATCACCTGAGGATCTGTTTATTGATTTTGGAGAGAGGAAATGAGAGAGAGACAGACAGAGACAGACAGACAGACAGACAGACACACTGGCACACTGAAGTGAGAGAGAAACACGGGTCGGCTGCCTGCTGTGTGTGCCCCGACCGGGGTTTGAACCCACGGCCTTTCGGGGCACAGGACAGCGCTCCAGCCAGTGCAGCCACCTGAACAGGGCAAGGTGCTTGTCTTTTTAAAAAAAGATCAGTTATTACCGTGTTTTATATGCAATTTGTCGTTGAGTGCTTGTCAGCGACCCCTATAAATATTTTTCTGTTACCACATAGTGTTCATGACTGTGAAAGAGCCGGGCCGTTATTTGCTGAACAATGCTGCACTGTGGACATTTAGGTTAACATTTTAGTCGTTTCATGTAATTATTTTGAACAAATGTGCCTGAGAAACTCATTGTGTGCCCATCTTTTGTTGCTTGATCAGCTGTGGCATTTGTTTGAGCACATAATTCAGAGGATAATTCTGGGTTGATTTCACTGAGACTTAACAGTCACAGTGTGTTACAGTAGGTTATCATTTCTAATTTTACTAATTATGTGTTAGGGTTACAGTCGGTGCAAGGAAACAGTGTGTGCCCTGGCAGTTCTGTTACAACTGTACAGAGTGTAATTCTAATTTTATACCAAATTTTAGAGTGTCTATTCAAAGAAAGAAACATTAAATATTTTTAATAGGTTGATAAGAGGATTAGTTTTGGATCATGGTGCCCGTCATCCAGAAATGAAGAAGCGAGTAGAAGATGCATTTATCCTTACTTGCAATGTGTCACTAGAATATGAAAAAACGTATGTATGCCATTTACTCTTTATAGGTTTTTTTTTTTTTAGATTGTATTTATTTTTATAGAGGGGAAAGGAGAGAGAAAGAGGGTGAGAAGCATCACAGTGTGGCTGCCTCTCACATGCCCCCTGCTGGAGACCTGGCCTGCAACCCAGGCATGTGCCCTGACTGGGAACTGAACCGGTGACCCTTTGGTTGGCAGGCCAGCATTCAATCCACTGAGCCACACCTGCCAGGGTTGCTCTTTATAACTTTTGAAATTGTTTTTTTCTAAAAGTGTTTTGAAATTTTCCTTGACTCCCAAATGTTTAGTGTAAAGATCTACCTTTTCTTCTCTACCTCCTCTCACTACCTTAATAGCTTGTTTTTATTATTCTTTCAGAGAGGTAAGCTCTGGCTTCTTTTACAAGACTGCAGAAGAAAAAGAGACATTGGTAAGAGCTGAAAGAAAATTTATTGATGATAAAGTACAAAAAATAATAGACCTGAAAGACAAAGTTTGTACTCAGTCCAACAGAGGATTTGTTGTCGTTAATCAAAAGGTAAGAAGAAAAGTTTAGATTTTAACTATTTGTAAATATTTTTTCATTGTTTTTCTTTTAAAAAAATATTTATTTTTAGACGGAGGGAAAGGGAAGAAGAGAAGCATCAATGTGTGGTTGCCTCTGGTGCACCCCCTACTGGGGACCTGGCCCGCAACCCAGGCACGGGCCCTGACTGGGAGTTGAACCAGCGACCTTTTGGTTCGCAGGTCAGCACTCAATCCACTGAGCCACAGCAGCCAGTGCTCTTCACTGTTTTTCGAAGTGTGGTCTATGGGCCCCCAGGAGTCCTTAAGACCATTCCAGGAAGTTTGTGAGATCAGAACTATTTCACAGTATTAATAATAACGCTTTTTACATTGTGTTGCCATTTGCACTGACAACGCAAAAGCGATGGCAGGCAGACTGGCTGGGGCCTGGGCACAAGCGAAAGCTGTGGCAGCGAACCGCACCGGTGGTCTTCATGCTCCTTATTGTCTCACCGCCACGCACCGGCCGTTAAAGGGGGAAGGCAGGTTCATTGAGGAATGTATTAATGAAGTGGTAAAACCTAACTAACTTTATTAAATTTTGGCCCTTAAATAATTCCGTATGACAAAATATAAAGTATGTACAAAACGCGTTCAGCGTATCAAAGTATGTCCTGAAGGAAGCTCTTGTGTAATTGAGTTTTAAGCTAGACTGGCTGCTTTTTTCAAGCAGTGCCGTTTTTACTTGAGAGAGTGACTGACAGACAAACTGTATTTAGACGCGGGCACGCGGTAGGCTTTTCTCAAAGATGAGTGCATAGTCTTGTCACTTCACGGGAAACAGCTGACGGCGCTCGTTGCCAATGATAGCATTTAGGCCTTCGAACAGAAATTAGGATTTTGGAAAACTTGTATCTGCCACTGTGAGTTCGACAGCTTTCCAATATTTCAAAGACTTTTCTGATGTTATTAGTGACGATAGTAGCAAAGGTGATATTTTTGATATTGTATAACCATGAAATGTGTCAACATTGGAAGCCCTGCCTAACTTAGTGAACCATTGTTTTCTAAATGCCTTCAAAATGCACGATTTTACAAAATACGCACAAGTAAATAATTCGAAGTGCGAGACGGACAAATGGATTTGAACGCGAGAGAGTGTGGAAAGGTCACTGATGTGGTTCCACGTTCCACACGGAAACTGACCACTTGTTGAGTTTTCCTGCGGAAGAAGAGTAGCCACATTTATCTGAAAAGGCTTTTAAAATATCCCTCTCTTTTCCGTACATGTTTCTGCGAGGCCAGGTTTTCTTTTTATACTTCAGCCAAAACGACATATTTTCCCAAATTGAATGCAGAAGCAGATAGGACATACAAGCTGTCTTCTCTTAAGACAGATATTAAAAAGATTTTAAAAAAATGTAAAGCAGTGCCACTACTCCCACTGTCGTTTTTGTTTAGGAAACTATTGCAAATTTTCATTTAAAAATGTTATTTATGTTAACATAAATGGGTTTCTTCTTGTATTAAATGGGTTAATCAATATTTTAAAAATTCTTCCATTTTAATTTATAATATGATAAATATTGTAGATATAGCTCATATAAACAAAAGCTCTTTGGGTTCTTTAATTTTTAAGCGTGTGAAACAGTGCTGAGATCAGAAAGTCTTAGAACTACTGGCTTACAACATGCTTGTAACGTTTGCGTTAATTTGATTACAGGGGATTGACCCGTTCTCCCTAGACACGCTCGCACAGCACGGCATAGTGGCTCTTCGCAGAGCCAAGCGAAGGAACATGGAGAGGTGAGCTTGCAGGGGGTTGCGTGCCCGGAGTTCACTAACAGAGTCACTGGAAGTGATCCCACGCGTGTTCCTTTTAGCTCAGACGGAAACACTGTTGAGCAAAATAGTAGCATACCAATTGCACATTTTGTTTCTAATTTCAGTAAATAGTGAAACTGTTAGACATCAAGATTAACCTACCCCAGACCTTTCTTGAAATACAAGGAAGATTCTCATCTTCTTAAAACGGATTTTAAAAGCAATATAATCCAGGGACAATGTAGGCTTCCAAGTTAGGTATCTTTCCACCTATAAGAGATTCGTCTTTACGTTCTTCATAACCAAGGCTATGCTGACGTGCATGCAATTTCAGACTCTCTCTCGCTTGCGGCGGAGTGGCTGTGAACTCCCTTGAAGACCTCAGCGTAGACTGCTTGGGCCATGCCGGTCTTGTGCATGAACGTGTGCTAGTGAGTATTCCTGGGGGCGGCGGTTATGGAGTGAGCAGTAAAACATTTTCAAAAACTACTAAACGTTTTGATTTAGGCTGTACATTTTGAGGTCTGAGTAATCCACAGGATAGATTTTACAGTTTATTTACTCAAGTGTTTGTTAAGAGTTCAAATATACCTTAACTGCCTTTAACACGTATTTAGTTACGCTTGACAAGAAAAATTCACGTGAAGATTGGATTCTAATATTATAAACTAAAGGTACTTGGCTGCATAACGACATGACGTGTTAAAGTAACATATTCTTGCATTATCCTTCAGGGTGAAGAAAAGTTCACTTTTATTGAGGAGTGTGTGAACCCTCGCTCGGTCACCTTGTTGGTTAAGGGGCCAAATAAGCACACTCTGACGCAAATCAAAGACGCCGTGAGGGATGGGCTCCGTGCCGTGAAAAACGCCATCGAGGACGGTAAGTTCCTTTTTGTGATGGACATGAACTTTCGTATTTTTAAAATGGTAATACATCCCTCATGGTACATATACTATTTCCAAAGGTATTAATGATAACTATTCTCTCATTTCACCGTGGACACTTTATAGTTTGGATTGTGAAGATTTTTCCCTTTGGGATACTCTTAATAGTATGCTGCTTTTTTTAATTATCTTCTGTTTATAAAGTGAAAAAGCACTCAATTTAATGCTGTAGTATTAATTTTCATTTTTAAAACCATGAAAAAGCTTTTACTGCTTAAAACTTAGTCCATTACCTCAGTTGCAGTGTAAAGTATATGGTTGTCTAACCACTATGCTAATACACAAAAATACTGCATGTAAACTGTAATCGAAAGAACTAAAAAAAGATTGGGGAAGGATATTAGCATTTATTATTTATTGATCATTTATAAACTGCTCCCTCCTGAAAGGAGTTAGGGTAGGTAATTCAATAAAGCACACGTGTTTGAAGTAGAATAATACGCACGAGAAGACGCTCAGAATCACCCGTCACCAGGGAATGAAAGTCGGAACCGTGAGAGACGCTGCCGCGTGTCAGGATGGCTGTCGTCAGAGGGCAGGGCAGTGCAAGTGTCGGAGCCCTGGCGTACAGGGTCTGGCACAAGTGTCACCCTCGTTTTATTAGAAACTCCTAAGCATGTCATTCTGTTCCATAACGATATCACACCCAAGCAAACCATATGACATTTCAGGTGAAGTGTTCACATTAGACGTAGATTCACTGTATGACCCAGCAAACCACCTCCCAGGTGCACACAAGAGCTGAAAACGTATGTCCACACAAAGCGCCTGTACGCTAACATTCACAGTAGCGCTATGCATCGTGCCCTGACAGTGGGATCCACCCAAACATCCATCAGCTGGTGAACGGACGAGCAAAAGGGGGTATGTCCGCCCGAGGGAGTAGCATTCAACCACAGAAAGGCGTGAATGCTGACACCTGGTCCAGCACAATGACTTTGAAAACATTATGCTAAGAGTCTAGACACAAAAGGCTGTATGTTATGTGATTTCGTTTCTATGAAATACCCAGGAGAGGCAAAGCCACGTAGACAAAACATAGACTGGTGGTCGCCAGGGGCTGGCGAAGAGGGAAGTGGGGAGCGACTGCTCCCGGGTACAGGGTCTTTTTTTTTTAATGGTTTGGAATTAGAGAAGGGTGATGTTGCACAGCCATGGGAATATTCTAAAAAGTACTGTGAACTATAACTTATAAAAGGCCGAATTTTATTGCAGATGAATTATATCTCAAAAAATAGAGCAATTAACTTTATAAACAGTGGGCCAGATTTATCTGATAAGTACAAAGATAGATGTGAAATAATGGTAAAATGAAAGCTGAAATGGAAAATAAGAACCTAGGAAAAAAGAATGTAAATACTGTATAGCAACTGTAATAGTCACTATAAATATTTAAGCTGCTAGAATATAAAAGGATATAATTGGTTATGTAGGTTTCATTACTGAAAAGGAGAAAACACATCAGTTCCTATGTTGAAAAAAATACGGGCTCTCTCTAAGGGTCACTGCCTTTTTTGGGTAGTAATTTTAAAAAAGCTAGCAGCATTTTTACAGCAAGATCAACATACATGATTTAGGCATGTAGCCTTTGGTAGTTTACCTTATTAGAATTTACACAAAAAAATAAATCGGCTAATTTTAAAAAATGCCTTCAAGCACTTAGTTTTTAATAAATATTTTTTAAAGATGTTATTTATTTTTAGAGAGAGGGAAGGAAGAAAGAGGGAAAGAAACATCAGTGTGTGGTTGCCTCTTGCGCGCCCCCTAGTGGGGACCTGGTCCACAACCCAGGCATGTGCCCTGACTGGGAATTGAACGGGTGAGCTTTTGGTTTGGCACTCAGTCCACTGAGCCACACCAGCCAGGGCTCCATTCATTAAAAGGATTGTCCTTTTACCCACTGAGCTGCCTTTGCACCTTTGTTGAAAATCAAGTGTCCATATTTGTGTGGGTTTTTTTCTGAGTTCTTTACTGTTCCATTGATCTGTTTGTCTTTCTCAGTGTTAACATCATACCGTCTTATTACTGTAACTTTTTAAGTTTTGAAGTCAGTAATGTTAACCCTTCAATTTTATTTTTTTTCAAGTTATTTTGGTTATTTTAAATCTTTTGCATTTGCATAGGAATGTTAGAATCAGCCTGCCAGTTTCTACCAAAAAGACTGCTAGGGTTTTGATTGGGTTTTCACTGAACCTGTAGATCAGTTTGGGAATAACTGATATCTTAACAATACTCAGTTGTGGGATATCTGTATTTATTTGGGCCTTCTTGAATCTATTTCAGTAGCATTTTACAAGTTTTAGTATATGAGTCTTGCACATCTTTCCCCCCGAGATTGAGCGTATGTCATGATTTTCTGTTCTATTGCACATAGTATTTATAAAATTTCAATTTCCAGTTGTTAGTTGTTAACATAGAGAAACTTTGCCAATCCCTGAGCTAGGTTTTCAGGTTTCATGGCATAAAGTTGCCCATACTATTCCCTTCTTATTCTTACAATATCTGTAGAATCTGTAATGAAATTACTGTTTTCATTTCTGACATTGGTCATTTTTATTTCATTGATTTCCACTCTGATCTTTATTGTTTTCTATATATTAGGTTTAATTTGCCCTTCTTTTTCTAGTTTAACAAGGTAGAAGCTGAGGCCCTTGGTTTGAGACCCTTCTTATTTTCTAACATAGATGTCCAGGGATAACAGTTTCTCTTCGGGCGCTGCCTCAGTGGCACCCCACAGATTCTGACATGTTGCATTTTCACAGGAGAGTGGGGCCCGGAAAGTTTTCAAACTAAGGGGTAATGTTCTATTGCTGAGGCTGGGTGGTGGGTAGATGGGTACATGCATTTGTACATTTATCCTTTATACCTTATGCATGTAAATATTTTTGTGTGTGTATTTAATACTTAATGAGGAACTTTTAAAAAGTGTCGGTGGGAGGTGAGGCTGTAGTTGCCGTTGCTCAGACAACTCTTTTGAGCAGAGAAAGGGGATAGTAATGAAAACATGGTGTGCGGTAAAGGGGAGATTTGTGTGTGTGTGGTTTTGTTTTGAAGATGGGGGATTCCAAAGCAAGTTTTTGTAAAGAGTCGGGAACTTCATAAAATCATACAAACAGGTATAAATGTCATATCCTGATATGAAAATGTGTTTAACTAGAGCTTTTGCCTTAGAATAATAAGAACAGCTAGTTTTTCCCTCCCCCTGACCCACAGAGCAGCTTGAGTTCTGCTGCAGTACAGAGAACAAATACTTCATTGAGTCCAAAGAATTGCCTACCCAAAACAAATTGCCTACTGAAAACTGTGGCCTAATTATCTTGCCCCCTCAAATTTCCAAATTAGATATTACATTTAGTTACTTGCCACTGGAAGTTATAAATAACTGCATTTTAAATGTAGTCATAAAGGAGTATGGTGAAGGTAGAAGAAATGTCTACTTTTATTTGCCAGGGGATAAACAATGAAATAAGCTATTCGTAGCCAGTCTGTACCGTGCTCAATTATTTAATGCTGTATAACTTCAGGATGTTCATAAGACATCTGAATAATCACTGAGCTATGCAACTTATTTTACTTCTGTATATATTTAAATATATTTTAGATGTAGACAAGATAATAAAACACACTTGAATAGCTAGTTGCAAGATAATAAAACACACTTGAATAGCTAGTTGCATTTTTCTCTGTTTTTTCTGTGTCCTGTTTTGCCCATCATTTTCCCCCTCCAACAGGCTGTGTGGTGCCAGGCGCGGGCGCAGCTGAAGTGGCAATAGCCGAAGCCCTCAGTGTGCACAAGCACAGCGTGAAAGGGAGAGCTCGCCTCGGGGTCCAGGCGTTTGCTGACGCCCTGCTCATTATCCCTAAGGTACAGCCATCCGGATGGCCCCGGAACTGCTGCTTAGATGTAAGGTGTTTAGTGATAAATTGCTCATATTGTCTGATAGTTAACAGCGTAGAAGGCGGTTTTTATTTGCATTTCCTCATGTAGTTTTGTCTAAGACATTTTACAGCTAAAGCAGGGAAACTTGTGGAATAACAGCTCAGAATCCTTGTAGGAGTTTGATGAAATAGCCACATTACCCCCTTGCTTTATTCTCTGAATTCCAAAGGTGAAGTAACTCCAAAAGGTGTCTTTAAACATGCTTCTTGATTGATTAATTATAATGAAAAGTTTCAGGATTTAAGATTTAATTAGATTTTGATGTAGACCGTTATTTTGTTGCTGATATCCTTTAAATTGTGCAAAGTGAGAACTTCAGGCTGTTTAACACTCCCAAATACTAGCTTGCATTTCATTGTCATTGTAATTCCTAGAAGAGAAACCAGATTTTTTTCATGCATCAGAAGGAAGACAGAGAACTACCATTTCTGTTCCTTTGCTTTAGTCTGGTTGTGAACCACTTAGGAATGCAGAAAAACTGTTTCAGATATGCTAGTTACTATGAATTAAAGCATTACTAGTAATGCCAGCAAAGTCTCTTTGATCATTGCTTTAAAATTATTCATGATTTGTAGCTTTGTGATTCCGAAATCTATTTTTTCTTTCCTCAAAGCAGCAGAGTCGATAAGTAATGATCTTAGAACTGACACACACTGGTAAACCTGGCGTGCACTGGTCAGACCTTCCCACTCCTCAGCAGTTGGTTTGGGACCACCTGCAAATAAACCCGGTTTGGAGACAGGTGAAACCCGTTTGGAGAGCAGGTTGAACCTGGTTTGGAGAGCAGGTGAAACCCGGTTAGGAGAGCAGGATAAACCTGGTTTGGAGAGCAGGGTAAACCCGGTTTGGTGAGCAGGTGAAACCCGGTTAGGAGAGCAGGATAAACCCGGTTTGGAGAGGAGGGTAAACCCGGTTTGGTGAGCAGGTGAAACCCGGTTTGGTGAGCAGGTGAAACCCGGTTTGGTGAGCAGGATAAACCCGGTTTGGTGAGCAGGATAAACCCGGTTTGGAGAGCAGGGTAAACCCGGTTTGGAGAGCAGGTTGAACCCAGTTTGGAGAGCAGGTGAAACCCGTTTGGAGAGCAGGTGAAACCCGGTTTGGCCAGCAGGTATCTCCGTCCCTGTTGTCACAGGTCATGACTCTCCTCACGTTAATGAAGGGCACAAAGATGCTGCAAATATTCTTTTTCCTTGCAAGTGCCCAGAAAAAAAATGGGAAGATGTGCGGCTGGAGGGCCTAGAAGAAACAAGAATAGCATCCTACTTCCTCGCATGCTTTTTGTTTTTAAAACCTTTTGCAAGGAAGGAAATTAATGTAATGGGGTGGATGTGGGAGAACTCTAATGCCCTCCTCAGGATTTATGTGATACGCATGGGGAAAGTATTTAAGTAAATATAAAAATGCTAGAGATAGAAAATAATAATTTTAGATTCAGAATGAAATTCTTCAAAAGGAGATGATTAGTATGTAATGAATGTGTTTTCACAAGACTAGAGAGCAGTGCCTTTTTATATTTGATATTCAAATGTATGCGAAGGTATTCTACATATATATATTTTATTCTTTTCATTTTTGAAGGTTCTTGCTCAAAATTCTGGTTATGACTTGCAGGAAACACTAGTAAAAATTCAGTCTGAGCATTTAGAATCGAAACAACCCATTGGCATCGACTTGAATACAGGTAAGAGAATGAAGACAAATTAGCTGTTTAATAAAGAAAAAGGGTATAGTATAGTGACCCGGAACTTACAGTAAGTGGGTGGGAATTTTGGATTTTAATATTTAAAATGTGGGTGCCTTTTAGTTTACTTTTGCACTTATTTCAAGTATTCATTCATTTAAGAAGTAGGCATTGAGTGCTTGTTGCTGGACTCTTGGGATTCACACAGAACAAAACAACAAAAATCACTGTCCTCGTGAGCTTATGTTGCAGTGGGGAGGACAGACAATAAGAAAATAACCTGCATAAATAAGTTGTTAGCATTTTTGAAAGTAATACATTCTCTGCAAGATAAAATGAGGGCGATTGCGAATGCTGGCTCACGGGGCGGCGGGGGGAGGTTCCAGGTTAAAGGGGATAGTCAGGGGGGGGGCCGCTGGGAGTGGGGACTGCGAGCACGCCTGCCGAAGAAGGGAGGGGGGAGTCAGCCGTGCGGGGCACTTGCGGGAAGATGCCGGGGAGGGGGACGACCCAGTGGAAGAGGCAAGGCACTGTCTGGTAGTTCTGAGCAGGAGGAGGGAGGTGAGGGAGGTCGCAGGGGGTCAGACTGTACAGGCGGGCGGGCGGGCCCGTCTGAGGGCTTTGGCTCTCCTGCAGTAGAAGAGGGAGCAGTTTTGAGCAGAGGGGTGGTGTGGACTAATTATGCTTAAAAGGATCGCCGGCTCCTCTGTGCAGAGGAGTTAACTGAGCAACTGCAAGGTTAGAGTTGCCGTCGGAGAAGACTGTGGGCGAGCAGGGTTTAGTGGGGGGCGGTGATCAGCGCTGAGCTTTGGCAGATCACGTGCGAAGTATCTGCAGACTTCCCAGTAAAACGGACAGTTGGACGTCGGGGTCTGGAGCTCGGGGAAGAGCTCTGGGTTGGAGATAAAAGCCTGAGAGCCATCAGGGTGCAGATGGTTTAGCTCCAGAGACTGGCCGAGATCACCTGGACGGAGTGGGGAGGGGAGGGTCCAGGACTGAGCCTCTGGGTGCTCCGGCAGGAGGAGCCCGGGGAGCAGGAGGAGGATGCCCGGCAGGAGGAGCCCGGGGAGCAGGAGGAGGATGCCCGGCAGGAGGAGCCCGGGGAGCAGGAGGAGGATGCCCGGCAGGAGGAGCCCGGGGAGCAGGAGGAGGATGCCCGGCAGGAGGAGCCCGGGGAGCAGGAGGAGCCCCGGGAGCAGGAGGAGCCCGGGGAGCAGGAGGAGGCTGCCCGGCAGGAGGAGCCCCGGGGAGCAGGAGGATGCCCGGCAGGAGGAGCCCCGGGGAGCAGGAGGAGGAGCCAGCAGAGCAGGCGGGAAAGGAGCCAGGCGAGCCTGCTGCCCGAGACGGGAAGGAGGAGCAGCCAGGGGGCCAGACCGGTTGTGTGCGGTGCTGCGGACCGAGGAGGCCTGAGAAGCGCCCGCTGGGTTTGACGGGGCGGAGGCCGGCGGTGACCGTGACGGTGGTGGTTTGGGTGGTGTATTAGCTATTGTAAGAATATACGACAAATATGAACAATGTGTCAACACGTGGTATTAAAGTAGTTTCGTTTTTTACTTTGTAGGTGAGCCAATGGTAGCAGCAGATGCAGGAGTCTGGGATAATTATTGTGTGAAAAAACAACTTCTTCACTCCTGGTAAGTTTGTATTAATACAAGGGAAGGACTTTTGGGGGACATCATTGATGCATTACATTTTTTTCTTTGTTTTTGCCACCCTACAGTGGAAAAATGGTTAAATGTATGACAAGGCGTGGTATGGAGTTATTAAGACCGGCTTCTGTCATTTTACAGTCCCTTTAGCGATTTAGTTCCGGGAGTGTAAGCTGTGGGAGATGCCACTCGTACTGTTTATTTGAGGGGGAAGGGAAAGAAAGGGCTTCACTGAAACAGTCCGTGTGCATAGTGTGAGAAATCAAACGATGTGCGAAAAGTGCGGTCAGTGTTGCTGGAAAGCACAGTCAGGCCTCCACTTTATCAGCAGAAGAAATGATGATGCAGAGGTGCTGTTTGTCCTGACAACACGCGTCTCGTAAAACCTCACGGCATCACGGGAGAACAGGGCTCCCGTGGAGGCCGGACACGGCTGTGGGGAACGGCTAAGAGCCAGTGGGCAGGCTTGCGCACCTGTCGCCTTCCTCCTCAGCACAGTGATTGCCGCGAACATTCTCCTGGTCGATGAGATCATGCGGGCCGGCATGTCCTCGCTCAAGGGGTGATGGAGTGCAGCACCGCCGCGCCCGAGGCGGAGAGTGAGCACGCCCGACGCCCCACTACCTCTATGCAGCCCGAGCCATTCCTCATTGTTAACAATAAATGCAGTTTATGTTCGTTGGTCTTGGTAGTCTCAAGAATATTTCATGAAGGTGTAAAGAACACAAGAATTTTTAAAAAAGATTGCACCTGTTTATTTTTAGAGAGGGGGGAGGGGGGGAGCAGGAGAGGGACCACGTGGGTCTGCTGGCACAGGCCCCGGCGGGGGCCGGCCCGCAGCCCAGGCTCGTGCCCCGTCTGGTCATCGAACCAGCGCCCTTCTGCTTTTCGGGGCGACACCCCACCAGCTGAGCCACCCCGGTCAGGGCCACAAGAAGTACTTTCACAGTCAAGGAACGATACTGAAAATACTTCCCCTGGGGGCTCTCACTCCCACCCCTGACTGTGCGTGTCGCAGCACGACGTGGTAAGGTGTATAGTGCGTGTGCCCGACGCTCCGAGAGGGGGGCCAGCAAGGCACGGGTTGACCGATAGACCAGAGCTCTGGAGTAGGGGAAGGTTTCCTGGTCAAGAAGGCCTAGCTCAAGGAGATGGGAGAACGGATTCTCAGATCCACCTCCGGAGGACGGAGTCGGGCATCCTTCATTGTCAAGGGGAGGGAGGAGGGGCAGGCAAGGAGTGGGCGCCGCTGTAGACAGGCAGGCATCGGAAGGGGTCCCAGGGAGAGTAGGACGTGTCGCACTCCCTCCCTTCGTTCCGTTGGCCTGCTGACCCCCGCTGACCCGAGTCCAGTTATGGGGACTCCTGCGAATCTTTAAAAACCAGTCATGACTTCGGACTTCGTGGGGGGCTAGGGTGCTGCTCACGCCTCAAGCGGAATTTCTCCAGTTAATGAGCATCTCCATAACAGGAACTATTAAGCCGCAGGCCATCAGAGGGGAGCAGCCTCTCCCTGTTACAACTGGGGTTGATAGGTGTCGTCACCACCTTTTTTATTGTAATACTTGGTCTTAGTTCTCAATTCCTGACATAAGAGCTTCTCAGAGCCTGGAATCTCTGGAATTAATAAGAGCGTCTTTTTGCATGCTAATGCGGTGACTTTCGGTGGACCCCTATAAGGCTTCAGGACGGGGGCTGGTTGCCGGCGGAACCCAGTTACGACTAGAGGGTTAGAAGTGTCAGCCTTCCTCCGGGGAGGGGAGAGGGACTGGAGACTGACCGTCTAATCAGCCACGCCTGCAGGAGGGCACCTCCATAAAAACCCCTAAACTGGGGGGGTGTTCAGAGAGCTTCCAGGTTGGTGACACATCCACGGGCCAGGAGGGTGGCGTGCTCCAGCCTCCCTGGGGACAGAAGCTCCTGCGCCAGGGCCCTTCTGGGCCTCGTCTTAGGTGCCTCTTCATCTGGCTTTTCATCTGTATCCTGGATGATGCCCGTTACAACAAACTGGTGAATGCAAGTTTAGTGGTGCCCTGAGTCCTACGAGCTGTTATAGCAAGTTATCAGACTGGAGGGAAGGGGTCACGGGAGCCTGATTTGCAGCCAAGTTGCATAGAAGTAGGAGTAACGTGGGGGCTTTGAAGTGTCGTTTGAAGTGGGTGGCAGTCTTGTGGGACCGAGCCCTTGACCCGTGGGGTCCGCACTAACTCCAGGTCATCAGTGTCACAACTGAACTGGGGGACACCAGTTCATACCTGGAGAGCTGGACAGCCAGTTCGTGTGGGAAGACCCCCACACGTTTAGGGTCAAAAGCGTTGTGAGTGGAAGAGACAGTTTTTCTTTAGGATGCTGTTGAAGTTTACATAGAACATGGTATTATTCTTCTTAGGCGCTTTGGACAACTTGAATGAACAAAATAGTGGAGCACAGTTTTAGAGGACCCAGGTCAATTTCTAATTTATCAGAGGGTATAAATGTAACAGGGCAAACGCTTTATCCCCTCAGAATTCCTTCAGCAACTTCCTGCTGCCGTTCTCTCCTTCTATAAATACGACATCCCTTTGCGAGCACACCTCCGGGTTTCATGGGCACCTGACAGTTTATTTTACGCACAGTTTATTATTGTTCGCCTGGCGCTTTGGTGCATGTGATTGGCAGCTCATGCTACGCTGCCAGCTCTGCCAGCTTTCTCATTGGCTGGCTCCACAGCCAGTTCTCGCCCGGAAAGGGGGGCCTCGTTGGCGCCAACACTGGGAAGTGATTGTCTTCGGCTTCAAATGCAGCAGTTCCAATGTCAATATTGCAACAATGTCTTTCTCACTCAAAACACTAGAATTCATCTATTGTGCTTTTTACTGTTATTAGGCTGCTCATAGTTAACTCCTTTCATGGGTGCAGACTGAGGAGAGACTAAAATGGGGCAGGGGCATCAGTGGCACCTGGGCCTGCTCAGCGCAGACAGGAGAGATCTGTTTAACCGTTCAATGCTTCCGTTGAAAAGCTCTTATCTTACAGCCTTTCCTCCCCCCACATAGTGTGTTGTCAGCATCTTTTCGGGTTAATAACCCTGTTTCTGAGCTTTAACTTTTTTTTGTGGTTACATGACATTTCATTATATGACTACTTTGCAATGTTTTTAACTAATTCTATTTTCAGTATTTTCTTTCTTTTTTTTTTTAAAGATTTTATTTATTGATTTTTAGAGAGGGAAGGGAGGGAGAAAGAGAGAGAGAGAGAGACATCAATGTGCGGTTGCTGGGGGCTGTGGCCTGCAACCCAGGCATGTGCCCTGGCTGAGGAATCGAACCTGCAATGCGTTGGTTCGCAGCCCACACTCAATCCACTGAGCTACGCCAGCCAGGGCAGTATTTTCCATTGTAAGCAAACAGTTCCTTTTCTAGCCTCTATCCTCATTTGAAAACAGGCGTACCCTGCGCACTGCCAGACCTTTTCTGTGTGCAGTGTTTATCTTATGAAACATTTTCAGTGCACTGAAAGGACAAAGATAATAAACACCTTTGTGTCCTGCACCTAGTGTAGACAAATGGTAACATTGTCACATTGCTTCCGATTTTCTTCAAAGAGACTAAAGAGGACAGATGTTGTTATATTGCCCCCCGCCCCCAGCCAGGCCCCTCATGTTCTCTCCCCACGCTTCCTCCCCTTAGACGAAGACTGCCTGTGTGTCGTCCCCATGTACTTAAAGACTTTTTTTTAGTACGTATGCATATGCCTGTAAAAACACAAAAAGGATTCTTTTTGGGTTTTTAAAATGTATAAAAAGTATATACTTTCGCTGCTTTTATTTCCGTCTTAACATAGAGTTTTGAGACTTACCGTTCATTCCCTTCGAGTGTGCCAGTGTATTTCTGTACTATATTTATCCATCAATGGGTCTTCTGGTTACTAATTTTGCCTCACTTTATTTATACCATATTATTGACTGTATCACCCATGCTGTACTTTACAGCCCCGTAACTATTTTGTAACTACCAGTTTGTACCTCTTAATCCCTCACCTTCTTCACCCACCTCCCCAGCTGCTCCGTGTGCGTCTGTTCCTGCTCTGGTGTCTGTTCGGTTTTCTGGGGTCCGCGTGGGAGGGACGCACAGGGCGTCCGGCCCCTCCGTCTGGCCGATTTTGGTCAGCGCGGTGCCCTCACGCCCGCCCGTGCTGTTGCGGACGGCAGGACGTCATCGTCTAGAGTAACGCTGACAGATGTGTATTTGTTGCCATCGTATTATTCATACTTTTGATTTTTTTTTTCTTGAAGAAGACCCTTTAACATTTCTTGGAATATCATCGGTCTGGTGGTGATGAACTCCTTCAGCTTTTTTTGTGTACGATGTGTGTCGTGGATCGAACTTTTTCCTCATACGCTAACCAAGTGTTCTCATACCCACCGTTTGTGCTACCACCTCTGTCGTATACCGAACTCTGCTGCATTCCACTGGATTGATCCCATTTTCTTTATCTGTGTTCGTTTCTGGTTTGGGTATTGTTCTGTTGGTTTGGTAGATTATTTTTAGACAGAGGGGAAGAGAGGGGGAGAGAAACATCAATGCGTAGTTGTCATTTGCACGCCCTGCCCCCAAATGGGGACTTGTCCTGCAAGCCAGGCATGTGCCCTGACTGGGAATCGAACTGGTGACCCTTTGGTTTGCCGGCCAGCACTCAGTCCACTGAGCCACACCAGCCAGGGCGATATAAAATGTCTTGATATGTGGTTCCCCCAACCCTGTTTTCATTGACTTTACAATCGTTTTGGCTGCCCCTGGATCTCATTGTATCTCTTTTTCATTTAAATTTTAGGATCCGCTTGTTGAGCTCTGTATTTTGTTAAGAATTGCAGTGATTTTATAAATTATTTTAGGTAGAAATGACTATATATATTCTTATTTATATATGTTTATTCCTCCCACTCATAAATATCTTATATCACTTCATTTATGTCTTACTAAGTACCTCAATTTCTTTTTATTAGTAAATGTTTTATTTTCCTAAAGTGTTAAACATTTCCTGTAAATATGCATTTTATCTTTGGTTAGATTTATTTCTGTGTATCTTGATTTAGAAGCTATTATGAATAGAATTTTTAATAAAACTTTTTTATTTTTATATTTTTAAAGATTTTATTTATTTATTTTAGACAAAGGGGAAGGGAGGGAGAAAGAGAGGGAGAGGAAACATCAGTGTGTGGTTGCCTCTTGTGCGCATCTTACTGGGGCCGTAGCCAGCGACCCAGGCATGTGCCCTGACTGGGCATCGAACTGGCAACCCTTTGGATCTCAGGCTGGTGCTCAACCCACTGACCCATACCAGCCAGGGCAAAACTGAATTTTCCAATTATTTGTTGCTGTACCATAGACACTCTAGTGGAGTTTTATATATTGACTTTTTTTTTTTATTACACAGCCTTGCCGAACTCTCTTAGAGTGTAATATTTTGTGTATAGATTATTTTAGAATACTTGGGTTGATACATAGTTCAGTTCTTTTTTCTTGTACTATTTCTATTGTTTTCCTATTTTACTGAGTTGGCTACGACTTTTTGTATAAATGGCAGTCGCTTTTATCCTGTTCTTGCCTTTCAAGGGGATGTTTCTAGTATTTTACTGTTTTGTCTTGTGCCTGTGAAATGTTGGCAGATAGCTAGCTACATACAGTTGTTTACTCCTACTTCTG